CTTCCATTCGAAGAAACATGCAATGTTATTAAATGCTTAATACGAGATGTGAGATGATGTCTTTAATACGAGTTGTGATTAAATTATCTATAATTATGATAAATATGACACAAAACGTGTTTGCGTTCATTTATTCATGCGTTTATTTCACCTGTAAGGCTTGTAAACTGTTTAGCATCGACTCTAGGTGGCTTTTTTTAATATCGTCTTCCTCGTACTTATGCAAATAGAATAGAGTAGTACGCCGGTAGCGATAATGGAAAATGGTTTCTTTGATTTTATGACTTTTTAAATTGTTGCTTGATAGGTCTGTTTATTGATATTGAAGCAATAAATTTAATAAGCTCATATGTTTTTAATATTTATATTTCTTATGATATATATCCATGAATAAAAACATAACTGCATACTTGATGGTGTTGAAGTGTTGACTTAATGGCAGATAATAGAGATTATTAATTAAAATGACATTACATTATATTGTTAATTTAGACGATTGTTCCAATTGGTTAATACTATTAAACCTTTAATAAAAGTATTATAATACCTTTCATACACTATTATATTGAACGTGAAAAAAAGAGAAAATTATTAGGAGCGTGTTCAAATTGAACTAGAGAAAATTAGGGGATCAGTTCAAATTAATTTGATCAAGCAATAAGTTATCACGTTATATAGAATTCTGTTTAATTATTTAAATTTTGATTTTTATTATCATTTTGTTGAAAATTCTATCCTTTTTTTTGTATTCTTTTTATTAAATTCATATAATTGTTCATTACTGTTAATTATTTAGCAGTTGTAACAAATATAGTAATAAAAAAAAATTATACAACAATATTATTATATTCATCCATCCAATTATTAATTTTTTATTGTTTGATAAAATATAATTATTTATTAATTAAAATAGTGGACCATTACAAATTTTACATTATTAAAATTAATGCATGTATTCTAGTTAGCAGTGTTTATTTTTAAATTTACATTTAATGTTAAAGTATTTTTTTGATATTACCTTTTTTTTGTTTTTAATAAAGTTACGTTCGAACTAAACTAAATAAATTCGAACAGATAAATTACTACATGTGAACTTCAGTTAATTAGCGTTTTATAGTAAAACTTATTCAGTGATAATTTGTCGTTTATTTTAATTGCTGTATTTTACTATTTAAAGTTATTAAATTATCATTATAAATACTGTTGATTGTTTCAGTATTTTCACATAGAGAAAAGTTCGATTTATAATACTTCTTTTTACTTTTCTCCTGCTAACTTGTAAATTAACAAACATATTACCCACCAGAAAAGAAAGTGGTACAATCGTATCTAGTTTCCCTTCTGCTGAAATTGATTCATATTACAAAATAATAGATATTTATTTATTTAATTAATGCTAATCGGCTTTTATAGAGTTAATGTACTTATCAAATTATTTAATCTGCAAATGCTCTATTTTCACAACTTTGTCAATTAATAATTTTTAAGATCGTATTATTTTATTTTTTATTTGATTTCTGATGACAATACAATATAATACAAATTTTTAATTGGGAACAAATGGACGTTACTTTGATTTTTACGTTACACTTAATTAATTAATGTACTGCTGCGGGATTAAAGTATTTTAGAAAAAAAAAAATTATATGGGCCTACAATGAATTGTTACTAAAAATTTTGGCAGCTTATAAATTAGCCTTTACAGGTGATTGATAAAATATATTTATTAATTTTTTGCCGCATTTTGGGAATTTCAAAAAATTTTATAATTTATAAATCTTATTACAATCTCATAATAAAAACGTAATTATCTCACAGCACCTTAAAAAAACAGAATCGTGAATGTATTACGGTAAATTGATGATTATTAGACATCGTGCATTGAATTACAAAATCGTTTACAGTATTACATAGTACTAATGATAAGTAACTTCTGTTTTATTTCTATATAATTAAATTATATATGTGCGTATCATGTAAATATAATAATATGAATTGTCTCAAACAATGATGATTATTGCTTTTATATGATTGCATTATATAACAGTTGAAAATACTTTAATAGTTCAATTATGGTCTCTTAATCTTGCCAGAGCAATAATTAAATTATTAAAGCCGTCATGAAAACTGAGAATTTATGTACACAAGATATAGTTACGGTCGGCTAACTATAAGAACAAACACGCCGCCTCATGTAATGGGACACATATTCATTTTATTATTTGAAGATGCTTGAATTTGACTTTTGAATTGTACTCAGACACGACATAATTAGTAAATATGCTTTGTATTTAATAACTATATAACAAGTTTACGTCAAAGCGTACAGTTTTATTATTGTCTTGGGGAAGGATAACAATATTTTGAATTTACTCATTTCTCCGACAAAGATTAATTGATATCATCAGCAAGTACTTGATTTTTAATACTTATTGGGTGTAGAAAATTTCACAACCAGAAGATGTATGACGCCAATAAAATAGTTTTTATATAGGGTGGTTCTTAATATGGATAGTTTTGATTTTTTTTGCTCTCAGGAGCTGAAATGCCTCCGAGATGATAACAAAAATCCTCTGAAAGTTTTTGCTCTTAATATTTAACTTTAGTCCGCACTCCAACTAACGTATTTCTTATGAAAATAACGTGGGTAAAATTTGTTTTTTAGAATTTCATAACTTAGCGACAAGTGTATCAAAGTTTTGAGATTAACATTGTATTTGGTTATTATGATAATAAATAAAAAAAATTACAACAAAAATTTGATATATTCAGATAACCAAGAAACTTTGGTCGGGTTGTGGACTAGCTAAAAAGCTAAAATTATCCGAGAATTTTTCTTTATCAATTTGGATGCATTTGAACCCCTGGGAGCAGAGAAATTTGAAAATATAATAGCTTCATGAATTTATTGTACATTACCTACTCAAGTAAAGTTTTAAGAACTGCCCTAATATAAATATATCATGTATATTGAGATATAAGAAATATCTGCATTATAGTCGAAATTATAAAATATAACCAAGTAAAAATATTGGCATCAGTCAGAACTAATTTTTCTACTACAGTGTAAATTTATTACTGATTTTGTGAGAGAATAGGTATATTATATTATAGGACAATCTATTACAATGATGAAAATGCTACGATCTCGGTTTTTATAGTTTTCTAGTTAAGTTCTTAGTTAAGTTTTTTATAGTTATTCAAATCTATTTATAAGATTTGCAACTTTTAATCATTTTTATTTATTTCAAATGAAATATGCAATGCTTCACTAAAAATATTTTTTGCATAGCTTAATTTTATGCTAGTAACATTTTATTCAAAAATATGAGAACAAGTTATAAAAATTTCAATTCGATTCATTTACATGATCATGGTTTATTTTTTATGACATTTTATTTTCTATATTAATAAATTATGATAGATTGTGAACCACTATAATTCCAAGTAAATCCAAGTCAAACAAATTATGGTATGAAAATAAAGTTATTACAAATATTTTCGTCGCTAAAAATACTTGATGTGCATTGCAAATATGTGCTGTAAGCGTTGTATCTGGTTTTGCCATAGGTACATACAATTTTTACATGATTGCACGATGTTGCATATATTCATTATATGATTATTTCAATATTCAAGTATATGTATCACAGTTTTTTTTTCTTTAAAATATCAATTTTGTGCCGTGCAGTTGTATCCTATTTGTATGTGTGAATGCCAAAACCAAAACGTTTGAACTTAAGCAGGCAGTTAATTTGCTAAAACATTTTGATCATTGATATATACAATATATAATTAAGAATTTTTATTTTATAAATTGGTATAGTATATATATATAGGGGAGCTAGGGACTATATGTAACGGGGGCAACTAGTAACAGGCGTTTTTCAATAGAATATTAAAAGATACTAAAATAATTTTTTGGGTTGATTAGACATGTAAACCGCCCTGGATAATGTTGTCATAGCTACTATCCGCAGGCCGACGCAATATACAGAACTGTGCAGGTTCGTCATTTTTGACATGTAATATAAAATTGATCTAACATAAAATTTCGATTTGCGTTATTATTATCGATCAATTTCAAATTTTATATATCTGATTTATTCCAAATTTATCAATCTTTGATAATATGTAACAATTTTTGTCATTGCTAAATTGTTTAAAAAGTTATCTTGATAAATGTAAAAAAATCACATTTGGGGTTGGTTAAAACAAACATTGGGGCTAATTGTAACATACAAGAATTATATGCGCAGATTCAAGCGGGTGGAATTTATAGTTTGTAAGATGAAGAAGAAATGTAAATCAAATATCTTTCATTTTTATTATGATAATAATTGCATTTAGCGTTGAAAAATTTATATTAAAGAAGACATTCTATTTTATTTGCATTAATTATAGTTCAACGCAGATAAAAAGAATTACTTAGAGATATGTCAATTAAAATTATTAGTGGCATTATTGTCGTTTTTTGTCGTTACTACTTGACTTAGTAGACGTTACAACTTAGTTATAAACACGGGGTAAGTTGTAACACCACACTTTTTCTAGAAAATGAATAACTGTGAAATGATAAACAACATTTGTGGAACTATCCATCTTGATTTCGCAGAAATACGATCAATGAATCTCAGATATATTAATTTAGAAAAAATAACTGTTACAAACAGTCCCTAGCTCCTTATACCAATACTTATACCAATACTTATACAAATTTATAAAATAAAAGTTCCTAATCATATATAATACTCGTGTTCAACACTATGCTTACTAAATTATTATTTTTTAAATAATTTATTATAGATAACTTTGGAATAGTATATATTTTCAAAAGTATGTAACAAATTTGAAATAAACATAATTCAATACACATTTAGTCTGCAGCAAATTTACCAAGCCTGCTTAAATGAAACACGTTTAATTGCATCGTGAATATATCTAATAGAGTATATATATATATATATAAAGCAAGTGGTTAAGACGCAGTGCGGACTGACCTGTGCTGGCGGTAGTTATCCTGGCGTTTGAAGGATTTGCCGCAGACCTCGCAGGAGAAGGCGAGCTCAGGCGACTTGTGCGTGCGCTCGTGTATCATCAGGTTGTAGGGCTTGGTAAAGCGGCGCTGGCAGTAGCGGCACACGAACTCGCACTTGGGCCGAACCTTGCGGCGACCGAAGTCGTGCGCGCGCGAATCGTTGTCGATTTGCATAACCGCGAACATTTTTTAGCCGTGCGGGTAAAAGGGCTTCTTTGAAATAATATTCGATTTACTTTACTTTTGCCGCCCTTGCTTTTCAGCACGAGTCTTTACTATACACGCTCGCCGCTGCACACGGCACCTTCTGCTTCCGTCGGTCTCAGTTTGTTTTAATATACATTAACAAGATATATATTTTATGTTTTATTTTCACGTCTTGCGTAAAAAAAATATTTAGAATGAGTCCCTCGTAAAACACTTCGCTGCACTTGCTATATTTGGCGAGCTGACAAAAAATTATTTTGTTAGCTTTTTAAACAAGATTATATGATCGCTGTTTGTTTTTACGGCACGTTATTTTGTGTTTGAGAAAAGATTTTTTACATTGAAAATCAATTTTATTTTTTACACGACCAAAAAAAGGTTCACACAGGTATAACAACCCAATACAGGTGCTCTGCTGACGCGACGATAAAAAAATACGTCAGAAGATCTGAAAAGTAAAAAAAAAACGTTATTTGAATAGCAACAAAATTAACTTGTGATATTTAAAAAATAATATTAAAAATAAATCATGACGCAAATTATATCATGGCAAAGGAGTTAATTTGTAAAAATAACCTATATTTATTTAAAGTTCGACATTGTAAGAATTTGAAAATATTGACGGATAAATTGTGCGTTACACAATAATTATTCATGGCAAGTAGATGTATTTTATCTAAACAGTTAGATATTTTATATACGAAAACGTCTTTATTATTTCTTATTTCTTTTGATTTACAATACTTTACTTCTATTAATAAATATTTTCAACTATTAATTTAATATCAGTTAATTTATTTAAATATTTTTATACTTTATATTTCACCTTATTTGTGTATAAAAGTTGTAAAATTATTAGTCGAATATATACGAGTGGCGATGATGACATTTTTTGCCGTGCTAATATCGTAAAATATGATAATCGTTTACACGCTCTTCGCTTACAATATTTTATATAGAGATGTCAGCGTTTAAGGACAACATAATCTCTTTATAGTTAAACCAAAGAAAGAAAGAGTCGCGTGCGTAACACCAGATACGCGAGATGGCGAGTCACTCGCGAGAGAGCATCCGTCCCTCTTGCTTGGCCGCTGCTTCGCATAAGTGTGAACGGAACGCACGCTGCGCTACCGTGAGCCACACTTGAGGAGGGGTGTGGCGTAACACGGTAGCGGATCTTTTGATTTGTCGTCCGGTGATTGCGTAACGGTAGTCGATTGGTTCGCTCTAATTAGCTGCGCGTCGTCGCATGGAGAAATTCATAACTATAAAAATGAAAACTAATTGACTAACCTGTTTATCTCTACGTACTATACACAGCACATGTAGGTTTCACGTTATTGATAACGAAGCACTCAGCGCGAATCGCGTATTAAAAATTAACTCAAGTAAGACTTCAAAATTTTTTTTAAGAACACTTGTTTAAGAAGTCAGGATTTCAGATGAATATGTTAATATTTTTATCTGTATCACACTGACTCGGTCGAGTGTCGATGCGTTACTGAACCGTACGTATGAGCAGCCGCCCGAGGTGTCTGTGAGGAGGCCAATATGGCGAACGTTTTCAGCTTCCGACATGTCCTAGTACGACGCTACTACTACTAACTACCAGAGCGGTCCGGTAACTCCCGGTGTATTACTCTTATAACCGTCTCTCTCGAACGGTCTGTTGGCAGTATATAGGTAAAATAAAGACAGAGATGTGTTCGGTAGCAGTATAGAAATCACCCCGCGCATCCCTCGCCCGGGTTTTGATTGGTCGCGAAGGGCGTGGTCTTTCAGACAGAAGGCTACACATAGAATCCCCTCTTTAAAAGTTCGGATTTCTTCGGTAGGCAATCTACCCGCACTTTAGTGGTTTCGTTTAATAAATATTTAATTATATATCAAACACAATCATTTGAAAAGTCAAATTTTTATGATCAATATCAACCATTGGATTATAAAATTTGACAATTATGAATTTCTTGTCATGTCAAAAATTTTAAGTTTAATTCACCGTATAAAATTATTTGCTAATCTTGTTAATTTGATTAATGTGTAATATCATTCACCGAATTGTGGAAAACATGTATCTTTTATAACACTTAAATACAATAAGTTGAACAATCAATACAAAGTTAATCTTACATGTTCAGTGTTAGTTTCCTAAGAACAGATTTTTTGTCAGATATTGAACTATGTAATGAATGAAAAACTATATTTCTCAATGAAAAAAGGCTCCTGTGGACTGTTGTTCCTTTTTATGGTTTTTCTAATTGTAAAAGCAAACACGCCCCAGGAGGAGTTCACTTGTAGAGCGACTGCCCTAAGGCGCGGTATGATCTGGTCACGCCTGCAGGTGCATGTTTGTCTCTTTCGGTGCCGCCGATCTGTTTTTGCTTTGTTCCACGGCCACGAAGCGAGAGCGGCGCGTGGGAACTGCACGGTAGCGCACAGTCCTCGCATTCCGCAAGGCGTGTCCGCAAACCGCGGCGTCCAATGTGTCGGCACCGCGGCCGCAGTTGTCTCGCTCCGGCGACGACGCTGGTCGTCATGTACACTGATCTTTTTCGGTTTTAGTATATTGATCTTTTTGAAATGATTGTTGTTGAACGGTTTTCGTTCGCACGAGATGCATATTGTTTTATATGTGGGGTCTTCTGGTGATTGCCGCCAGAGTTACATATCGTATTCTTCTGTGCGATGATTCATTCGCATATTCATGTTAGCTTGTGAGCGACTTATTATTTAGTGCTCAATAAACTCATTAGAGTTATCAATCAAGCAGTTGATGTTCATGAGACATATCATTTTATTTTTATTATAAATGACTTATTAAATAAGTAGGTATTCGGACTTCTGTTACTTTAATAAGTTCTACGTTCGACTTTTTTTTACACTTTTTACATGCATTTCATGTATATTTGCTTAGAATAAATGCGATGAATACGTAAAAAAAATTTTACAAAAAAGTAGAGTACACCAATTAAGCAGTGAAAACAAACAAACTGCATCGCGATACAACATAACATAGTGATTTATCATTGCAAGCACACAATTTTAATAAAAATAATAATGTAATTAATATAGTTGAATAATAGATTAGTTATAGTCGGACCTTTTCTGCAAAAGAGTCTGCCTTCTACACGAAGGAGTCGAAGATAAAATAGAAGGACTGAAAGAAATAGCAAGAAGAAAAATGCAGATGATTGACGATTTACGCGAGAAGAGGAACTACAGGGAACTGAAAGCCTGCAGGATCAGGAGGCATCATGGAAGCAGAAGTTAAGAAAGGAAGATACATAAAAAGTAGTGGTCATGAGAATGATAGACAAGTAAGGGTAAGAAAATCATTGATTTTTGGTGGCTCTCACACCATGGTAGTCGCGCCTTCAGACAGACTACCATTTATTAATATTATACAAAAAAATAATGAAAAATTATTTGAGTTTTATCATAGTTTAGCTAGATCTTTGCGACGCAACTATTCGTTATATCGAAATAATTAGCTCAAGGTTATTATTTTTAGCAAATGCTTTGTATAATGTAATTAGATTTAAATAGCGTATCTATTGGTAATTGTCCGTAAATATCACATATTTTTAAATTTATTAATAAATATTAATATTCTTGTGGCTTCAAAGAGTCAATTTTGTTATTAATGAAACTATTTGAGAAAGAAGTAGAATAATTCTAACAAAATCTGTGCTGATTCTTAAACATAATGTTTTATTTATTAAGAAAATTGTTAACCTGGTATGCAAAGGGCATAGATAAATAAGTATAAATAGATGGCAAACACACCCACATTGATATTACATCAACTGCAATTCTTTCAGCATTCAATAGTTGAGCTAGTATAACTTTTTATTCGAAAGATGTTTAAAAAATATGCCTTTATATCAATATTTCATTAATAATACGATGTCAATGAGTATCCAATACATCTTAATCAAGTAATATTTGATAAAATTAGTTTTAGTATTTTGCAAGAAGCTCTTATAATTAGTATAAAGAACTTAATTAATTGTCTAGTCTAAACTGAATAATAAAGCTTATCTTGAAAATTCTACATAGTTGGTGTTGGTGCATAATCAAGTTAAAGATGAATCAGGAATTAGCAAGAATTCAGTTCAAATTGATCTTCGGATTAATTTCACTAATTGGAACCAGACTCAACAAAATAGAGCAGAGCTGGTGTTTCGGCTCTCTCGTCCAGTCGGAGATAATGAATTTATTGCCAATTGTGATGACAATTTTTGATACGTGTATATTACGGCGCACGACGAATTGATTGTAAACTGAATAATACAGTTTCAGTCCAGTCAAGGATGACGAATTCATTTTTGCCGATAGCTACGTGTATATTATGGGTAAAAATTACGCAAAGTTGCTGAAAGGTCTAGGTTCGGAAAATATTTTAAATTCTATCAAAACTAGAGTTTTTGGAGACATTTATCAATGTCCTTTCAGAAAGCACCATCATGTCAAGTTGAACTCATATGATCGGCATGTAAAACGTGCAATTAAAACCAACACTAGATACAACTGTAACGTATCTTCATAATTCTAATGAGAAAAAAAATTCGATGAGGATGAAGATGTGTCGACATATGATATTCAGGTCGCAAAGGAAAAGAAGGTAACCTTACTTTGTCAAAAAGGTGGAACCAAGTCCGAACGACGAGCTTGTTGCAAAGTTGCTGAAAGGTCTAGGTTCGGAAAATATTTTAAATTCTATCAAAACTAGAGTTTTTGGAGACATTTATCAATGTCCTTTCAGAAAGCACCATCATGTCAAGTTGAACTCATATGATCGGCATGTAAAACGTGCAATTAAAACCAACACTAGATACAACTGTAACGTATCTTCATAATTCTAATGAGAAAAAAAATTCGATGAGGATGAAGATGTGTCGATATATGATATTCAGGTCGCAAGGGAAAAGAAGGTAACCTTACTTTGTCAAAAAGGTGGAACCAAGTCCGAACGACGAGCTTTTCAGGCTGGAAAACGTCAAAAAAACGAAATGTTACTGTCCAAGCAACAGTATTATCGCAATACAGGTAATAATGCATGAAGTGTTTGCCATGCTGGCAAATGTTATGAATGGATAGCAACCAACAACGTTGGTGTAAGAAATACTAAATGAGGGAATTATTATTTTGTTTGATTATTTATGTATCGTTATTTAATGTATTCGTTTATGTCTACACTTAATTTCAATAAAATTTCAATTTCAACTTTCCGAATCGTAGAAGAGTCTTAATCAAGTAATATCTGATATAATTAGTTTTAGTGCTACATTTTGTAAGCAGCCCCTAGTATTATA